AACTTGCCTGGCAGGGGCCCTGGAAGGTGGCCCAGCAGTAGGGGGGGGCAGCGGGGGCAGCATGCTACCACACGGCGGACCACGGGGAGAGACTGCAGAGCATCGAAGACCTGCCGATGGAGAACCTCGCGCAGACGCTGACCCTGCACCTCCCTCTAACGTGCGACCGAACGCAGACGGGTCCGTACCTGACCACTGGGTGAGGGACATGATGGACGGCATGACTGAGCAAATGGCAAGGACACCACGAATGAGAAGGGCACACACACGGTGGACGAGACCGACGAGCACACCTAAAAGGGGAACAAGCCCCACGGAGGAACCTCTTCCAATGAAAGACCAGGTCTCAAGGACTCGCGAGCCCGGACAATGGAGACAGGACTTGCCCGCGATCTTTGGTGGGACCAGGCAAACCAGAAGACAACAGGGCAAGGGCACTACCAGGAGCACGAGCACACAAGTGAGGGGCAGCGACGCGGCAAGTGATGGCTCGGAAGTTTTGTTGCAAGCAGTGTACAGGAACCAGGGGGACCACCCTTCTCCAAGAACCGTCTCACACGGTTACATTATGATGGCCAAAGGCCAGCTTTCTTACACCTATCCTTGCACCAATAGAAATAGAGACAGAGGGACCAGCCCTTGTGCTGGGAACTCATAATTTGTGCCTGGTAACCTTGCTAGCTACCTAGACCAACACCTTGGCGTGCCGCAGCGACCAGCAGAAGGCTGGCGGGGCCGTTAATTTAAGCACGTTTTTGCATTTCCCGAGGCACCCGGTTTGCTGGACAGTGCACCGTTGGGGCGCCTGCCCTTGTTTTCTGACCTACTTTCCCCAAACAACCTGCCCCCACGGTGGCGCGCACTCCAGCAGAGTTTTCACACCAGCTGACCACGTACAGACACCCCAATCAACAACATGTTGGAGGGGGTAGCGCCTGGAGCGCGGGGTGTGGGGACTGCCCATGCCCCATCCCCGAAGCAAAGCAAGGCAAAGAGAGAGATTTAGCTTATAACATACGGGGGCACGGAGATGCGCGGCTACTATTTTGGCTCAAGTGTCCGCACCTTTGTTGTTGGGGGCCTGTTACGCCTCCTTGGGAGGAGTCAAGGGAGGCTGCGTGCTTGCTCCCAAGCCGACGCCAATTTGCTTAAGAGGCCTTCGCGCCCAAGCATTCCTCGGAACCTGACCGCGGCCCCTCCTTTGGGCGGTGGCCCGCCATTAAGGGGAAGAGGCATACTACCTCAAGGTGCAACTGTGGGAAGTCGGCCAGGAAGTTCCAAGCCACTGCGTGACCCCTCTGCCAAACCGTCGAAAGACAACACTACATGGCAAGAGCAGTGCAAACTAGCAAAGAGGCTTCGTGACATGGGGGTGTCCTGCAAAGCATGCCTACAAGGGCCTATTTGCCACAAATCCCACGACAGCGGGGACACGTGCTACAAGTACAAGGTGGCCACAGGGCAGCTTACCAGCACGGGGCGACCGTGTGACCTGCGCCAAAAGATGGATGAGGACAAAGCCGGCAGCATGCTGACCAGAGGACCTGCGGCGAAGCTCAGCAGAGCGGGCAATGGGAAAAGCAGACCTTTGTCGGACTATGTCATCAGGTTTCAAACGGAGCTGGGCATGACACTCTTATACGACCCGAGCCCACTGGATAGGTGGATTGGAACGCCCATCCGACAAGACAGAAGGACCGGGAAATACGTCGACCACATGACGGGGGAGGCCCTGGACGCGGAAGCCACGAACGATTATAGGCGCTACATGCAATGACTACAAAGGCAGCGACGAAACACAGGTCGACGAGCGGACCGGGTGATGGCTATTGTGGGGAAGTTTAACCCACGCATGGAGGAGGAGCTTCGCATCTACGTGGGGAAGCACCCGGAGAAAGCGGCCGAGTTCCTCAGGTCAGCCAAAACAGTCTTCAAAGAGGCGATGGAGTCAACACAACGCCAAGAAATGAAAAAAACGAAGAAGCAGACCAAGACGGGGGGAAGAAGCGAAGACGTCCAAGAACACATGAAGCAGAACCGGGGGGAAATGACCAGTACATGCCGAGATGCAGGGCAGCAAAAGCTTGAGGCAGTGCGATGGGGGTTGTTGTCAATTTTGGGACTTGTAACGCTCTGTTGTCCACTTCTTACTTCACACTCCCCGGAGAGTTCCCGACTTCAGCTCGCAACGCCGAGCCTAGTTGCTGCAACTAGATGGGCCGCGGAGCCAGACACCCCTGCCGCTGGGGGAACCACATGCCCTCCATTTAATGCAAGTCTTTTCCGAACACTCAGCTCTTCAAACACAGATCCCACTTAGAGGTTCGACTTTGAGGTTAGACAAAACGGAGGAACCACTTGTCCTCGTGACCTACGCAGATTGGTGTGATATGGCATGATGTTCCGGTGTTGCTTTTTCTTCGTCACCTGCATGGCTCTTGTTAACGGTGTTCCTGTTTATTCAGGTGAACCCCAACAGGCTGACTACCTCCACGAAACGAATTCTTCTAGTTGGCCCGGTGCTTCGTGCGATGGTGTTGCTTCGTTGAAAGGGGACAGCCTGCAAACCGTAGTGTGCTGGTGGGGGAAACCTGCTGTCGAGGGACTAAGGAAGGGCCGTAAGGGGCGCGAGGATGAGGCCGGGATGCGGGCTAAAGTACAGGGTTGGGTCCATGACAGCAGCATCCCTACCTTTTATTTCGACCGACGGGGGAAACACACCTCCCTGCTGACCCCAAAGCCTTTTCTGTCATAAGCCAAAAAAAGGATGCCTAACGGCACGGGTCTGTGAACCAGACCTGCACCCAAAGGAAGGAAAATGCGCGGAAGGGTTTTCGTGCCATTCCACACTACCTCTGACAGAAGGCCAGTCACACGCGGGGGAAGCAGTGTAGTAGACTTCAGGCCCCAGTTTGTCAGACTGCGAAAAGGAGTAAATCGGAGCAAGCAAAGGTCCGCAGTGCTGGGTTAGGATGGGCAGGCAACCTCTCAAAGCAGATGCAGATGGGAGCGCCTCCGTTGGGCCGAGGCGATTGGGCAACCCGTTGAGCCTTCAACAGGCTCCGTACTACATGACTTGCCTTGGATACATGCCATTTGCCTATGTATGGCTGGCAACGATGCTCCTCGATTGCATTGTAGATCTGATGTTATTGATCCCTTGCTGCAATGCACTGCTAAGGAACATGAAGTGCATCGTCAGGCTGATCGAGGACATTCTCAACATGGGTTCCAAGACGCACATCGATGAAGCTTGCTGGCATTCGGCTTCCACGCCGGAGTTCAATTGAAGTCTGCACCGACGGCATACGATGGCCTGGAGAGCGACGAGGGCGTCATCCAGCCCACAGTCGTTCATTTGCCTTCCATGTCATGTGGCTGGGCTTTGCCGAGGACTGGGCATTTTGCGGACTTCAAGGCTCGACGGCAGAAGAAGTTGTGGCAGCCGGCCTAGCGGATAGCTCTGACAGAACGGAGTCGCGAGGCTGGCTGTGCGGCGACTTCAGGGACCAAATTTACACGGATGCAGTCATGCCTCTCATCCAAGAAGCATGCAAGTTCGATGAGGCAGAGCGCACGATGCACGCGAAGTTGATACGACATTCTATCAATGTTCGCTTGTGCTGCTGCTGTTGTGCCATCGAGCGCATCGCACCAGCGAGCTATTCAAGTAATCTTCTCGCGACCTGATACTACAGAAGAAAACAGATTCGCGCTCATGCCCTTCCCAAATCTTGGCTATGTCAGGGGGAATGCTATTTGATCCGGCTGGGAGCTTTCCGGATGTTCCAGCATGTCTCTTGGAGGGGAAGATTGCTATCGCCCAAATCAGCCACCGTTGCGTGTCTCGATGTGTGCTACATTTACAAATATTTACAAGTGGACATGAATACCCGGCCAGCTGAGGAGGCGACTTGGCAGATTTACGACGCGAAGAAGGCTGGCCTAAGGTCCTTGTTCATCGGCCTTGCATCGCGGAGTGCGACTTTCTGCGTTTGTCCCTGAGGGCGTCGTCAGGGAAGGCAAGCTCACGACAAAGATGATGTCAAGCATCGACAGCCATCCTTCTGCTTCCTTGGAGCTGATGTTGGGGTAGGATTGTAGGATGCCGTAGTGCTCTGTAGGACCGTAGGAGACGCGAGGAACCCACAAGTGGTGCCGACACGCGGCCATCTTGTTTCTTAAAGCTCTCATCTTTGCGCAGAGTTTGCAGCAAGTTGAGAGTGGTTCTGCGAGCTGGATCTTCTTAGAACGGAGGTCGGCTTGGCGCAGCTTTGTGACCCGAAGAGTGCTGCGGAGCTTCGGGACGGCCTTGTGGCGGAGGAGGGGCGCTCGAACCGTCATGCTCACCGACACATAATAGTGTTCTCGACTATTTGGGGGCGAGAGGGAATGGCGCAGCCAGGAATGGAAGGATTGCTGTTGCTGTTGCTGTTGCTGTTGCTGCTGTTGTTGTTGTTGTTGCTGGGTGAGGGTGGGGTGGCCGGGCCATGGGAAGCTTCTCTCAGGATCATCTTGCTCTGGCGCTGGAGCTGCCAGAGCCCCGGGCAGGGCAGATCCGTTCACACATGAAGCAACCGATTTTCCAGGTGCAAGCGCTGCAGTGGCGAGCAGCAGATCTCGAGCAAGGACTCATCTTGTTGGGCACTCGCGTCCAAGTTCCAATTCTGCGCTGAGTGTCAGTGTGTGCTAGGACAAACTTGATCCTACAGATGGTTCCTGGCATATCTCTGCAGACCCAGTCAGGGAAGCGAAGGCAAGGCCGCACTGGGCCACACTGCTTGTTTCAGCCGGCAGTACCCGCCAAGAGTTCACGTGTGCGGAGTATCAAGGCAGTGGCTTTTCAGCGGCTCCGTCGATTCGAGGAAGCGAGACAGGAGATCAGTGCACGTCAAATGCCAGCCTCCTCTTAGCATCTATCATTTAGAGTGAAACGCTTTGATTTGAGGGGGATTGCTTGTGATTCGATTCCCCTGTGGTGCCTGGTGCTTGTGTGCATGGTGAGATATGGCACGGGGTAGAACTCTTCCCCTGCACGAGTTCAGCGGAAATCGAGTGGCGAATGCGAGTCCAAACCGCGCTTCTCAATCAAACAGAGGCACCAATAGAGGAAGCCTCGGCAAGCAACGTGTGTAGTCTTCTTTCACCACTGCAACTCAGCAAACCAAGGACCTAGGGCCCTGTCAGCCATCCGGGATGGATTGTGATCGGTCTCTTGGTCCAAGCGGCGCGACTTCTGAACCTGCACGTGCAGCTCGTCCGCCACGCTCGCCAGATGGCGCTCCAGCTCACTGTCTGCTAGGGCCGCTAGGGTAACCAGGCAATTTAGGGAACGTCTGCTCCAAAGCTTCATACGGCTGCATGAGCTGCCCAAACCTCATTCGAGTGATCTGGCACTCGTTGGGACTTAGCTGTTCCGCGAGCGGCAAGGAGTACAGCATGACTGACGACACTGCGATGGCCTTATGCCAGCAGAGCCGAGCAGCCTGGCAAGATTAAGGCACTTGAACGCATGGAGCAGCAGAGGTGACTCTCGGAGCTGAGCCCCGGGCTACTGAAAGGGCATTGACTGCATTCGAGGCTAGACCCGGGGGCGGCAAGAGTCTCTGGTGCAGTGCAGACCTCTGCCATTCAGGCAAATTTGGTAATCTCAAGCCGTTGCCTCGGACAAGCCGTGCAGCTGCCCGAGCCGCCTCACGCATCCTCGCTGCCCGCGTTCAGCCCTGTTCACCGAGAGCCATGGCCTCCGTCACACAGCCCAAGAGACCTGCCGGCGGCGCCTACGGTCAGTTCATGAACGAGAAGCGTGCCGA